GGATTGTTTTAAGAAAGGACTAAAAACTTTCCTTTTTAGAAATTCCTACAATGCCTTTTAATGTATTGATTTTAATGACGGTCTTTTTACTCTGTTTTTAATGTTATGGTCTTTTAAACTTGTTTTGTAGCACTTTGAGATTTGAAATCAAATGTAAAGTGCATTATAAATAAAATTCATTATTATTATTATTAGATATTTAAAAAGGCTTTTCTTTTTCCAAGGTAATTATTCCTCTGATAAAACCCTGGATAGATCTGGAGGATTTAAGGAAAAAACTGTTTAACTTACTCTGTAAAAAAGTCAGTAAAATATACAAGAAAAATAGCAACAGTAAAAGACCGTAAAACAAAAAGCAGCCCTTTACTTTATGAAATATGTTCAATAAAGGTTTATCAAGTGACTGGAAAAAAAACTCTTAATATTACTCTTAAAAAAAAATCACAGTGATTAACTAGGAAATTTTATGAATATGGATACATTTTAAAAGACACTGCCATACAGATAAAAACTTTCAAAAAACCTTAATTTTTATGGTATTATTTGAATAAAACTACAGGTTATTATGTTCTGCACATTAATATTTACAGGAAATACTTTTTGGTTGTGAAGCAAACATGAACTTTAAGTTTTACAGAAGCAAAATGGTTAAAAAACTATAGTCCACTGTAAAATGCCAACAGTGCAATATTGTAAAAAAGTGGAAATATCAGCAGTAAAAGACAAAAAAAGAAATTATCAACCTTTGTAATAGAAAACATTTGATCTCCACTAATGAAAAGATAATAAAATATGCTTCGTGATTTATCATAGAAGAGTAATTTATCATAGTAGAGTATCATAGAAGAAAGAAGTAAATTCAAAGTTAAAAAATGTGTTCTTCAAACTGTAAACGTAGAAAACTATATTCAAAAGCTCCATATAAAATGATTGTGACTTTGTTTTGTCTACTTGCCTTTTATTTGTGATACAGAAATTTTGATATGCATTGCAAGCTCATGTGTAGAATGACCATCTACTAGAGAGCCCCCAACACCTTGTTTTGTTTTTTTTTGCATAAGTTATTAATTCTACATGATTAAAGATAATGTAAAAATATGCATGATTTAATCATAAATCTTTGTTATGCTATGGTTAAAAAAATAAAAAATAAAAATCCATTAAGTATGCATGCAAAAGATAAAAAAACACAATACCTGCTCTTGGAGGCCATCTAGTAGCCCAAAAATCTTATGCAGCCGCTAAGTTTGCTTCTGCCTTGGGCCAGCCCTGAATCTGCAGATTCCATTAAAAACAACCCAATTTTCACACAATTTTGACTTTGCAGGTTTTCCCCCTGCTCATTTATGTCTCTTTACCAGACCACCTTTGTGTCCACCTTAAATCTAGAGTTAGTGTCATGGTTGCTGATTTACAACTGAGCAGCTGTTTTACTATTTGAAATCACATTTCATGTCTTTAACTGTAACAGTTTATATTGCAGAGTGGTCAAAGAAAAAAATATTTTCCCTCCTCTCTTCAAAGCTGTTATCCACTTAATGTCCTTACTGAGCGTTTTCACCAATAGGGCGGCGCACTGCTCAGCTGTGCACAGACTGCAGATTGCCCATAGAAAGAGACAGCCGCCATCTTTTCTTCACCATGCTAACTGACTGCAGCTGCTGCACTGGTGCCACCACTGTTGTGCAGAAAAAGTATTTTAGTTGTCTGACGCTTTCCTCACCAAAGTTCCTTTCAAACTAAAAGAAAAATAGAGATTAAAGGCTTGGAAACTACAGGACCGGAGTGAAAGAGGAGATAGGTTTGCACATTTGGTGCAGTTTGTGGATAAGCAGNCCTCCATCAGATCCTTTTGCTCACCAGCTCTCAGACTAGTCACTAATGCCAGATTATTATGACCCACCGGTAAATTTAATCCTGCATTCCTGTTACTTGCCTGTCTGTCTGACCTGATTCTGGGTCCTGATTCTCTGAGTCTGCCTGAACACTATCAGACCTGTCATAGTGTGTTTTTTTTTTATCTCTGACCTGTTTTCTGTGCCCTGACGTCGCACTCAGATTCTCCCCTGGATTCTCTGAATCTTTACTCTGACTTTGGACCTTTTCTCATATTCCAAACCCTTGTTTATCCCCTTGATCATTCTGCCTGTTTCTGCTCTAACGGATCTGAGCTTGTATATTTCTCTAAACTAACCATTAACTCGATTCCACTAAACCAACCCGGACAGTTTCTGGAATTCTCTGAGGTTCACCAGTGAGATAAAACGCCATCTGGCATTTTCAAAAACTCTCAAAGGGTGTGTCCGAACATCCCCCCTAACCCCTCAATCACTATAGAGCAGGGACTATATATTGCACTTTATAGTTACCTCAGATAACTGACCATTCAGACAGATGATCACTACTTTTCGCTCCCCGTTAATCTCGTAACTTTGCCTCCCCGCATGGTGCCTGCACCATCTTTGTTCTTTCTCACCTCTCCTTTGACAATCATGTCACCTCTATCTGCAAAACTTCCTTCATTCACCTCCGTAATATTTCCAAACTCCGCCCCTCCCTATCCCTCCTTGCTGCAGAGAAGCTCGTCCACGCCTTTGTCTCCTCCAGGCTGGATTACTGCAATGCTCTCCTCATCGGGATCTCTGGCAGGAGCCTTCAGAAGCTCCAGTACGTACAGAACAGTGCTGCCAGGGTCCTGATGAGGATGAGGAAACACCAGCACATCACTCCCATCCTTCACACTTTACACTGGCTCCCTATTCACGCCAGTATAGAGTACAAGATTCTTCTGCACACCCATCACTGTATCCACAGCAAATATCGTAATACTTTGAGAGGAGAGCACTCGCAAAGCAATCTGGGATATCACTATTAATCAAGGTGCCTTGAGGAAAATTTCGAGTCCACAACTTTTTAATCCATTAGATGTTCGGACACTAATTTAAATGGTGCAACCACTACATAGTGCCCTATATGTGTCATGATTTGCCATAATAGCTCCTAATTGTCACCCATCTCAGCCATCTGCCGTTCTCCCTTATATTGGGCTCAGTTCCAGCTATCAAGGCCAGATCATTGTTTTGTGTTCGGT